CTTAGGTGATTCACATGGATCTTCTTCAACCACCATGACCATCTCCTCTTCACGTTGTCCGCTACTTCCTGTTTAGGATCTTCCTCGACAACCAAGACTAAGTCGTCAACAACATCAGGGCCCCGAGATTGAGAAAAACCAAAAGCTTCATCGATACCAACGCTCTCTTCTCGGCCTCCAAGACTACCTAGCCTCACCCGAAGGCGATTGCTTAGTTCGAGACACTCACTCTGCGACCGATAACGCGGACTGGCGAATAGCGAGCCAGCGTCGGACTCGTGGACAGAACAAACGCTTGCAGCAAATCGTGGCGATCCAGCGAAGAACTCATCCTCAACTGTGAAGTGCAAGAAGGTGTTGAAGTTCTCCACGCGAACCGAAGATGGTGATGCATCGGACCCCTGGTCAAAACTGCGAGGTGAAGGGCACCTAATACTTGGTAATGCGGGCGGTCGCCGAGGACTCGATTGGCCTCCAGAAGTTGTTGACGGAGAGTTCATCACTTAGGACAAGGGAAAATTGAAAAGACACCCAAACCTAGCATAGCGTGAATGAACAAGCTATTCGCCACATAGGTCATTCCCGAGATTTCATCTCATGTGATGATTCATTAGTTAGGGCCTAGCGAGTCAGTCAGTACTACAGAGAGTGCCGTTTTGAAACACTAACAGCAAGCCATACGGCTGACAAGGACGGCTGTACGGTTCTTGTAGACCACACTGAAAAGATACGCAAGTTTTACTACCTTTGTTCTTCCCCTCACGATGCTGGACGCAGACAAAGAGACCGTCGTTCACAACGAACGAAGCGGAAATAAAGCAAGTTCTTTCAATCGAGCAACTCGTCTTCCAGTTGAGAATGAAGGATACGTGTCGTCGAATGCGATGCCCTCCAATCTTTCTTTACCGGGCGAGAAAAGGTATATTGGAGTTTCACCCATGATATGAAAAACACTAATGAAAAACATATTTCACCGCTACTGCGTAGTGTGAATATCGCGTTTTCACGGAGTTTTACACCAGTTCACGTAAAGCGGGTGAAACTCCATTATTTTCAAACCCACACGCTAATCATTTTACTGAAATAACTCAGCAACTGGGAGATAGAGAGCTTCCAATGATTCTACCGAAAAGCTAGCTGTTACAGCGACCTGCATGTGGCTTAATAATAAGCCAGCGTTGAAGTTTCGAGTCGTCCTAATTTGTACGACACCATTCCGTCGACCGTACGCGTAGTCCTCGAGACGGGTGACAAGAACATATCTTGAAATCTTGCATTCTTGTGTTACCTTATCGGGATCGATTATGGCTGAGGTGGCTATTCATTTGTAATTTGTAACGCGCTAGATTTATGAGTGTTGTATTCCAGCATTGTCGATCAGTTTAGCGTCTCATCGTTACCCTCAGTATGTCAGTCGACCCTAAGATCATGAAGGCCGCTAAGAAGGAGGGCACTAAGGCCGGTCACGATATCGCTGGTATGTCTGCTATGGGCGGCATGCAGTAAGTTACTCGACGTGTTGGCGACCCTTAAGCCATGTGTTCTGCACTCAAGGTTCTTCGTGAAGGCTCTCTCGTCCGCCGAGGGTGATATGGAGGCTCTTCAGGCTGCCGTCGCTGAGATGAACAACGAGACTGCCGATCTTGGAATGTAAGCGACTAGAAAACTGTCAATTTCGTAAAATTGATTCCGTGTCTATTCAGCATGTCCATCTCTGATGGAACTGGCAAGGTCGCCATTCACTGCCGCATCCCTGCCGCAAAGACCGAGACCGTCTCGGCCAAGGACTGGGTAAGTCCGCGATGCGTTAGAGAGTAGTAGGTCAATCAAATTCTGTTCAGGTTGAGGCATCGATCAAGAGTCTTGGTTTTGAGGTTGCCCCTGAAGCCACTGCCGAGCTAGTTGAGATGACTCTCATCCCCAAGGAGGGTCAGTTCCCCATCAAGATGAAGGATGAGATCATCGGCCAGGCCTTTGAGTTCCTGAAGGCTAAGGGACTCTTCCTCGATGATGACGAGTCTGATGATGAGTTCGTTTTCGGTGATGATGATCTTGGATCTTTCTAAACGTAAACGAGATATTCACCTGGCAAACTTGCTAAGTCGATTTCCATCGTTACGTGCGGAACCCATTGTGTTAGTCGTAATTAATTGGGTTGGTTGCCTGAGGCTTACACGGTGGTATCATCGGGAGCACAATGAACAAGTCAAAACTAGCTTGAAGTGGATGTAGTGTAGCATCCCATGAACTCGGTAGAGAGTTCTAGACAACTACATCAGAGCTCGATTCGTCCGTTGTAATCTGCTTTTGCGAGTAACATTACTCGCTCGTCTTCATCAGCCTCGCTTGAGAACTACAGAACTATTAACGGGAGGGCAGTTCTTCGTGTATATCGAGAATCCGATTGCGTCATAACTCTCTTCTTCACTCCTGAGGAACTCTGTGATCGGAATTTTGTCCATGAGGCTACGTCCGAATCTTGATTAGCATCCAGAGGACTACCGTGCTATGTCGAGGCCTTGTGCAGAGTACATTTATGTTCATTATCACGTTTTCTATTTCTTTATATTTGTTGAGGTTGGTCAATAAGGTTCAGTGGCATTGTTTCTGCAAGCATGCTGGTATGGCTGTGAGCCTAGTCCGCGTTATCCCCTATATTAATAACTCGAGTATATATTGAGGTTAACACTTTCAAGTTTCCGTTCCTATGAGCCTCCTTGCACTGCTCGTCGCATCTTACATAGTGGCGGGTTTTGCCGTATTCAGAGGGCATCGGAGGTTCTTCTTGATGTTCTGCTGGATTGTAAATAGTTGTTCTTGCAGGTCAACCGTTAGTCAGTCGGGGGGCGCCGGGTCGTCATCTTTCTTGCAGGCGCTTCGGATGGAGGATACATCTGCGGATGTTATTGTGGGTTCTTTCAGCAGAAGCATTTGTGAATAATCATCCTCGATGAACGATGATCGTTTCTCCGTGAAGTTGTTAGTTTCATGGTCGCGAGTCTCTAGTTAGGTTCGGAATGCTTTGGAGGAATTCATTGCCAAGGATGAGTTCTTCTTATCGTATTTTGATATGAGTGACATGATGAAGGAACGGTAGTGAATGACGGGATTAGATGCGCGATTGACCGGTACAGACGGAGTGCCGGCCACACTGCCGTATATCATTTCCTGTAGTGTTCACGTTTTGTGAATCTCATCTGACTGAATACTATTTGTTGCTCATCTCGGCTATCGTAAATGCGCGCTTTCATCATTTCTGAGCGATTTATGAATACCCTTGGCTGGACTGTGGCGCTGGTCACTGCTCTTCTAGCGCTGTCTCGTGATCACGTTTTATTATGCTGTTCCCGAGAGTTGCTCCTCGCTAGATATCCGGTATCCGTTTCTATTCGCAGGTTCAGCCATGCGCATCCGATTGAACAAGACATCCAGAAAATCATCCGACTAACACTCAGTGAGTTGTGTATCGATGATTTTTCTATGCGCATCTGCAATGCGCATATAATCGTTTTATTTCGTGGGAAACTATCGTCAGTTGTGATAGGAATTTGCGATATGAAATGTGGAAAATATGTCGGGTATTGTATAAGAGCCTCCAGATTCGAAATGGACTTTTCAGGACAATATGATGGCTACGTGGATGAAGTGAACACGGCGATGAGACAAGCGATGCAGATCTATGGCCGAGATGCTGCGTCTTTCACTCAGAAGGTGTTGATGCCGCAGGTGGAAGAAGACGATGTGAGTTCAATGCGCAACGCATTGCTTGGCCGGCGACAATTGCCACACTGTAGTTGGTCCTGGCGAAGAAAGCTCAGCAAATGACAGGCGTGACGTTGAAGCTGCTGAAGCTCTTGCAGAAGGAGCAACGGCATAAGATGATAGGGACTCAAACTATGCTGTGAGAGCGCGACTATACCTTTTGGAAATCATCGAGACTCGAAACTGCAAAATTCATCCGCAAAGTTGATTTCCGTATTCGACCACCTCCGCTAAATTGATGTCACTATCCGAGAATGAAATTTCGTTACCCGCCGAACCGCTGATCTTATCGGCGGAATGAATCTATCTGATTCTACGGTGAAATTCGGATCCTGAATGCTGCTCTTGGTCCTTGTAGCATAGGTCGTTGGTATTGAGCATGTGCATAATCTTGGTTGATTGCCACTGTTATCATTCGGCGTTCAGACTTGTTGTTCGTGCATCGGCTTCTATTATTCAGAGTGTATACAGTCTTTGTTGATCCCACCTGGGTGAAAGTGCGCTCGTTACGTTTCATGGAGAGCTTGGGGTTGTATGGATTTGCAACACTCGCTGTTGTAGGGACCTCATTGGGAGCGAGTTCAAGCAGCTGCAACAAGCCTACTCGAAGCCTACCGAATTCCGGAAGTCGGAAACTCTGAACGAATATTTGAAAGCTGCATTTGGAGAAATGTGAGAAAACGTTCAGTGTGTGTCACTCCTTACCCTATGAACTAGACAATACGCATCTTGGATATATAACTCTAATCGAGGTCGAAGTCAAATCGAAATGCATGTTCTCGAGCTGTTCTCTTCTTTGTTCGTCAAGTTGATAGATTTAGTCTACTGGGAATTTCAATAGCGCTCCTCGTCATCGGCTTACAGCGGATTCGTGGGTTATTTTCCTTTATGGTTGTGCTCGTGAATTCAGTCCTGGTGATGCTAGCATTGATGAGCGTGTGAAATTGATAAATAAGCACATTGCTGAGAAAACGGAGACAGACCCAGTGCAAGCTGCTGAGCATGAACATGCGGTGAGTTCATGGATCACCGATGAGGAGTGTCTCGCGCACCCGTGTCCGTAGGCAGTCTTGTTGGTCAGCCAGGGTATCCTTTTGAAACTGTTGTTGCTACGCGGGAATACAACTCACATGTGTTCTCTTCTCAGGCGGTTGCCAAGGTGTTCGAGGAGTTGGAGGACTACAAGCCAGGAGAGAAGTTTTACATCCACCGTGAGTGCGAGTTTTATGGGAAGTTTCTGCATCATTTTTCACGAGCTTTTCGCGTCTCCAGCAATCAAACGAACTATACTGAATTCAATGAGCTCTTCTACCCATGTATGTCGAGTTTTTCCCGTTGTTCGCAGCCGCTGGAGCAGAGGACGAGGAGAATTTGGAGCTCGATGCTGATAGAGAAGAACACCGAGAAGATGATGATGATAACGAGGACGTAGGAGAAGATGGGGAAGATGCTAGCTTTATTCAGCTCGGTAGTGACCTGATCGGACATTGCGTGTGCGAAGTGCTTGGGTTTTCCTAGGGGGTTTGGATGCATCGTTTCGAATGGGTAGTCTCACGTATGAAGTGGAGCTGCTCAATAACGAGGGAAGGCTCTTGGAGTTGGCTAAGTTCATTGCACCGCAGATGGACTACGTGAGCCTTAGGATCTTCCTATGATGACTGATCCGGGCACTGCTACAAGAGTACCCTATAGGAGATTGTAGTTCCACGACAGCGAGCGAAACTGTTGATCATAGACAACTCGTGTCGGCGGTCTTTGACTATGGGCCAATTTTAATGCTAATGAGCGAATGGGCAAATCTCTCATTTGTGGGACTCAAATCTCATGAGTAGAGCATGATCGGTCGAAATTGTGATCTCTGTTTAGATACAGGAGCGAATCTTGAGGCATACGACTCTGCTTAAACGTCAATCCAGTCTAGTTGGCGAGCCATGGAGTAACTCTGTTGGGTTGCAAGTGCTTGTCGAAGCTGATGTTTGCTCAGAGGAGGGCGATGCAAGGACTCAGATTAATTACCAGCATCCGTGGCCCGAGAAGACGAAGAAGGTCACCGTCACTGATGGGGTAATTCTAGACTCAACTTTCTATAGCAAATTTAAGTGCCTGGGAGTTTATAAGGGCAACCGAATGATCCCTTGAAATGTCTGACCAAAATATCCAACATGGATCTCAGACGATCATGGGAACGTTCGACATCGGAATTTCAAGGATGGACACGTCGGAGGACGTTGATATCATAGCTCGTAACGACGCGTTATATTCGTTCATCTTGGACTGAATGAGTTTTCAGATAAACCGGATGCCGAGAAACTGTAGGAAACTTAGTGGAAATCATCTCCGATTTCGATTTTCACTTCTCAGCGTTTCAGCAGATGGCGAATTGGTCTATTCTGGGGACGGCGAGTTTGACACTTCTGCAGTGACCGCAGCTCTGTCGGGTCAGGTAACGGGATTGGATGGGATTCTGGATGAGAAGGAAGTCGTTGTCGCAGACTTCTTGCTCTATGAGCTCGGTGTCATCTGAAATTATATCATCGTGTCATAATTTGCTCTTTTTTTGAACTGTATCCGCCTGACCTTTGAGTGGAATTTGCGCAGGGTTGTTGTGTGTTGAGATGGGAAGAGATATGCTCTTCTTGTGCGGATACAGTCCACTTCGAACCTCTCAGGATGCCAGTTCGTCGAAGGAGAAGTATGAAGAGAGCTTAGCTCGTGTCTCCCACCTTTTGAAGTAAGGTCGGCACCGGTTAGATTGATTAGAGTTTCGGTCAGCGATGACGACATGGTGGAAGAGGAAAATCGCGAAAGGGGACCCCAAGAGGAAGAGGGCGACGGTGAGCTACGTGGAGAAGCGGGAGAGCAGGACGAAGCTGAACGTAGAGCGGGATGGCTGGAACCTTCGTGCGTCTATCACCGGAGTATTTCATCGTTCTGTACTTCTGTGTTTTAGAAGACTTTCTAATGTGAGGGAATGCGATGGAAATGATGGCAGAAAAAATTCGGCCAGAATACTCGAATCCGTTTGTTAGTTTGGAGAAATCTGACATGTATTCGTTTAGATGTGACGGAGAAAGACAGTGATGATCAGGACGTAGATGAGGAGGAAGATGAGAACTCGTTCGTGGAGATCGCGAGAAAACGAGAGAAGGTATCTCATTTGCGCTGGCTCCCAAAATACCATGATTTCGGATATAGCGAATTTACCCTGGCGGGAAGCAGCTTTGGTGGTTCTTTCAGCGGACAGCGATTAGTGATGACGAGGATGAGGAAGAAGATGAAGATGAGGAATCATTCGTTCAGGAGGGCAATAAGGTGAAAGTATCTTTGCTAGGAGGCGGCAGATTCTGTTTAGGGTGGGAAGAAGACGGTGAGCTCTCTGCTTGAGCAGAAGGTGGCCAAGAGGAAACTGGTCCGGAATTGAGTCTGGAACACTGTACAGTCGTGATTGAATTAGGTTCGAAAACATGGCGAAACTCCGGACGAGCTCGAGGTAATGCCCTGGGGTTAGAGGGGGATGCGTATTCGAGATTGTGTTTCGACGACAAACGTTGTTCTGTCGCGGAGATTTCGGTATCACTGGCGTTAATTTTGCGGTGTAGGATGAAGACGAGCGAGATGAGCATGAGAAGCAGGAAACGGATATGGACGACGATCATTCCGACGCGGAGGGTCAAGAAGATGCAGAGGATGCAAGCTCCGAATTAAATGTAACTGGGTTGAGCTTGGCTCGGTCAGGCGAGTTCCCGAAGATTGACGTTTTCCTGTTCATTGAGGGAATATGGTGTTCTATGACGCGAGGGACTTCCACAACACTTCTCGACGAGAAATTTCCATGTTCGGTGTTATTTCTTGCATCGAAGACTGAGTGTCACTGATCCTAAGGTAATTTCTCCACTGTGATTGTCCTCGATTCGCTTGAATATCTTTCGTATTTGGACTGCGCGTCGAAGAATCGGGATCTGGTTCTTGTGTCAGCTTATCGATGAGCCCCCAAGAGATATATCAGATGCCTCAATAGAGAATACGCATGGAACTCTGGATATGGAGGAGTGAGAGAAACGCGCTCACATTTCGACAGTATTCTTGTATCCACTTTGCAGGAACGAAGTTCTGCGGAGCCAAGTGTATCTCACGGGCGCGGTAGGTGACGAGCGATAAATTGCGTGAATTTAGTGCATTCTTTGCACCAGAGAGTGGCACTTCGCTTGTCCATGGCCGACAAGAGAGTCCGTGGATTGATTGATGTCAGGATGTTTGAGACGCTGAACAAGGAATGGAAATCGGTAATATTCTCAACTGCGGAGGACGGCATATATTTCCAAGCCTTTGAATACATGACTTGATGAGGTTCGAAGCTTCTGAGATGGCGAGGAATAGGTGCACGGCAGCGCGGATGAATGAAACAGTGCATATTTCCTGCACCGTGTGAAAATTAGAAAACCCGCGTCTAAGATTTTGTCCCCCTATGTCCTTGGCTCTTACTCGTTCTTCGTGTGGAATCATCGCATGATCCGTGAAGGATCGCTTTAACTGAGGCACTTCATGATTCGAGATACTCATGGACGATCTGGTGAACCTGGTAGCCGTCAACTGGAAGAGGGCTTGGAACCGTGCGGGAGTACCCATTATCAACGAGGAAGATGCTTCCCGGTGGGTTGACAATGCAAAATTATACAATTCTTCGATCCGCTTTGGCAGACTGCTGAAGACCTATATCAAGGAAGCTGTTGTGGTGGGTTCCACGGTGTGTGTTGGTCTACTATGCTCAAGTGTTTCTAGGAAGCTCAAGAGTATGTGAAGAGAAAGCACACGGCAGCTGATTCGTTCAGTGAAACATTGGAAAAAGCAATCAGTCAGCTCTCCACTATGTAGTTGCGGGCGAAGGTCGGTTGGTTGTATTTCACGGTATATCAATCTCTTGGTGTAAATTTCACACGTTTCATTGATAGTTACAGCCATCTGTCCGTGTCTAATCTAGATTGAGAACCGCACCCATTTGCAGCTGAAAAGCTGAGAATGATTGTTTAAGACCGACCTTGTCATATGATAATTCAGGTTCCAGAATCTCGAGGGTGTGAGAACGGCGATTGAGAGGTGGACGGTCGACACTGAGAGTCAGAACGGCGAGTCAAGGAGCACTAAGTTTAGCACGTACTAGGATGCCCGCACCGCTCTTTACAATTGCCATCACCCCGATGGCCTTGTATCCTGAATTGGTATTCGAGCGACCTGCGACTCGTGCACAAGGTCTGGTGTAGTTTGTTCGACTCAGGTTCCTCTCGAACGTATGTCCAGAAACCTCAGCGGTCAACGATCTGCCTCTGAATAATCGCGCTATGCCTATTCTTCCTACGGAGGAGTTCTCAGCACGGAGTTGCCATTATTCGGTCCAGGGTCCGGCTTCGTATTCTCTACTTGAGACACATGAGCACGAAGTTAACTGGCCGGTTGCGCGCTGCGCGATTGAAGAACCGTGAGTGGGAATTATTGGACCTGCTGTGGATCAGCATCGTGTCGAATTTTAGTCCCGCTAGGCCAGCTCACATGTTTAAGGTTCGCTATTACTTTCTACTAGTGCTGGAATATTATTTCATATAAGTGTCCAGTGGATGTTATCAAGAGATCTCTCTCTGACGCGTACTTAGTTGGGTGGATTTTGATGATCTGTGGTCCACCTAAAGTGATTCAAGAACCCTATTGAAGAGAAGTTCACCCTATTCCCACACTATATTCTGCGTGTTAATACCTATTTCTGAGGTGGAGCTCATCCTTTGTCTATGTTCGGTCTGATCATTCAGCCACGATTTCTTGGATATCGGGTTGAGGGAAACACGCGGAGAAAACTCACCAGATGTTGGTATCTGCGAAGCCTTTTCATCGCTGGGAATTGATCCAAAAATGGTAGGATCGGTGTATACATTGCAGCGAGGTTTGCTGCGCTTGATTAGCCCGAAAGTGTGGCTTCGGAAAACGATGATGAAATGCCTACGGAACAAGACAGGGAAAAGCAGTTCGAGGAGTTTCACAAGGAGTGGGAGGAGAGAGCGGGGTAGGCTAGTATCATTCTATAGCTGATTATTGGAATACTATGTAGTAATCCTGAAGGAGCTGGTGAGCAGAGATCCACCTCAGAGGCTCAAGATGATGAGTAAGACGCGCCCGAATTGATTTACATTGGGCAAGAACAGCCGATTCTCTTGTCAGTACTGTTGAAGATGTTGAAGAACAAGGCGAGGGCGGAGAGGAGGATGCGGTGGATGAGGGAGAGTGAAGCACACACGAGAGCTGCTTGAGCCGGACATGTCATCTTGTTCCTGGTGGATGGTCTCACCTTGATCTGTGCTGAGTTATGCGCTAGATGCGAATAGTTAATTATCAGCCTGCAAGCACATTGCTGAACTCGACCGTACCTACTGCTGCACGACCAGCTTATACAGAATTTCACCATATTCGATGGTAACGCCACGAACATAGGCACGCCGACCAAACTTTACCATTTCCTGTCTACTGAACCAGTAGACAGGAAATGGTAAAGTATTACTGGACCGGGCTCAACTTCGAACCCAGATGGCAGCAGACTAATTTTTGCTGATATGTTACCCACGGCAGGGAGTTATTGGGGTTTTAAGAAGCAGCGGTCGTTTCTCTATATCGCGATACGCTGCTGGAGTGGTATTTACTCGGAGCTATTCGGCCTCGAGGCCAATCACACTGTTCGTCCCTCGGACACCTTTGAAAACTTGCCATCATCAGTTCCGCTATGAGGCAACCAGGTTTCATCCATCGTAGTTATAACGATTTCAATCTCATACATATAACCTCATAAAGTTATACCTCATTCAACCTCATAAAGTCGGTACGGCTTCTTGGCGGGAAACGGCCCAGCTGCGAATCGTACCATCGTCGCTTATGGGAGAAAAATCGCGTTTTCCGATGTATCGAGGTACCTGTGAGTCGAGTACTAATAACCTCTCGTGTCGATGAATATGAGTGCTATAATGGCAAAATTATAGGCTCTAAAGACTACTGTAGGGTCGTGGAGGTACGCTAGCTGTACGATTTTTTCCTTGCTACCTCCGACATCGGACGACTAGAGATGAAGCATGTGACTCTGCGACTAATGCCCGGGTAGCTTATTCACATCAGCTCGCTGACCCATCTTCTGATCTGTATTGCCAAACTCAGATTCCAAGTTCGAGCTCTGGTCAATACCACTCATCACCAGCGTCTACCGCATTTCTATCTGGTAGAATGTTATACGTGGTGTGGTAAGAGCGGCGAAAACGACCCAAGTGCATGAAGGAGAAAGATCGAATAGTTATCTGATGCAAATCAACTGTGACCTCCGTTGTCACCGAGGAAAGAACAATATCCTGTTCTTTATGACCTCGAGACATCCTATAGTATTTCCAGATATTGCGTTGAAGAGTAACTGATATATCGATCTATAAGCTCAATATCTGCTGTCTATGATAGACAATGCAAATCGGATGCGAGAAGCACTGATTATAAGTCACTGTTTACTTGATCAAGGAATGTGCCCAGTTGTATTATACTACTCATCAGAAGTCTCTCGGTAGTTGGACGTCAAAAGAAACTCCGACATCCAAACACCCAACTAGATATGATCAAGGTATAATCGTGGGAAGGACTGATAGCTATCGCCATTCGATGGAATCAGAAAAAGGAAATATTTGGTAATTGTCCTGATCTCGTCAACAGGACCATGTTAGTCAACATCTCTCATCCGAGTACAGTAGACAATTCTGTGCATACGTACTTCTTCGTCTGTGCGCTGTACGTGAGAACACTGCACGCGTAAACACAGTCCTACCTTCGCCTTACGATCGGTACGATTGGTTCTGACAGTCTACACTGTACGTCCCTAACCTATAAGACCACCTTGTGTTACACCAGTTACGGGACAGTAATTGAACACTCGTTGGGTAATCGAAATCTAACCTATCGACACTAACTTTTCAAAATTTT